TCACTTTTTTCTACTTTCCTTGTGGAAATAAAGCAGTTGTTTTATTTTGAAAGCATAATACAGCTTTCTGTGGAAAAGGAATTCTTATCTCTAAAAGCTGCCTTGAAAACTTGGACATCGTATTTTTCTGAGGTGATTTTCAAATCTCAGTATTAAGAGATTTTAGGATTTATTGACACAGATTCTAAAGTTAGTAAGACAGAAAATACAAATCAATTTTAATGTGTATCAAGCAAGCTTGAACTAGTAGGCCCTTTAGCAGCAGATCTCCAGGGACCAGGTTTAGATTCTCATAGTGTACTTAAAGTAGTTGACCTCTGGGTTCTAGTAGTTTAGTGCCTGGGAGAATCCATTTCTGAAAGGCATTTTAAAAAATGTTTAAATACCTCTGAAAGATAATGCAAAATAGCACAGTATATAAGAAAGGATATTTCCTGTTGCCAAAAGAAAAAGTCATAAAATGAATTAATAATTTTAAGAGGTAGACTTTTTGTAGCAATAACAGTTTTGAATGTATAGTAAATTGCATTAGCAAGGTTGTACAGCAGAATAAGTGTTATCACTTGAGTTTTTGGGGCTTTGTTATCAGCAGAGTTGCCCAAAAGGGAAAAGGTATGTTCTAAGTAAAGAGCATATACGAAATATTTTTTTCTTCCTTTTAAAATAGTATGAATGTATATAAATATGTGATAGTACATGTGAGAAATATCCACTTTTGTTTAAGTTAAAGGCTATGTTTCCTAAAGGAGTAGGTTAAAAAAAACAAAAACCAAACCCGTTGCCATCAAGTTGATTCTGACTTACAGCGACCCCACAGGGTTTCCAAGGACCTCCTGGTGGATTCAAACTGCCAACCTTCTGGTTAGCAGCCTGAGCTCTTAACCACTATGCCACCAGGGTTTCCAGGAGTGGGTTAGAGCCACAGTCTTTAGCTATTCCCTTCAATCTTTTTGTTTTTCAGTTTTTTTAAATCCCAACTTCCCTAACCGTAAGCAGGAAGAAAAGCCAGCCATCTAAGTTCTCGGGTTATTTATTTTTTTTAATCTTAAATATACAATAAACTTTTTCTTTTTGAAAATACACCCAGAAGCCAATGGAGAAAAATAAGGTGACAAAGCAGAAGAGTAACGCCATTCTAGAGTAAATGTCTACTGCCAAAAAGAACAGTAAGCAAAAAACCCACGACTGCTTCAGTGGGGCTCTAAGTACATTTGTTTCCAGGTTAAGCACTAGAAAGATTTCCTTTTAGTGGCTCTAACCCACTCCTGAAATAAAACTTTCGGTTCTCTTCTTTTCCCAGAGCTTTTACGTCATTCTCTACCCAAAAGGACCAGGATTTGCATATAAGCCTTTTATACCTGAACAGTGGTCCTAATTTTAGCCTTTTCTCATGTGACTTTTGTTCCGAAGAGGCATTGTGATAGATCTGAAGAGCCTGCCGGCATTTCTTAGTGATCACTTGATTAATCCACATTTTATGTTCAAACTGCATGTATCCTGATTATTTCCCATAATTACTCTGAATCAAGGTTTACTTTTCATTTACCATTAAAGTAAAACTAGGTCTAGTTGAAAGTGTAAACAATAGTGGCAGGCCTATAATTCTGATTTTACAGTACTAATATTCTACCAATGCATGACCGAAAATGTACACTGTTAGGTGGTTACTAGTAATTTTATATATGCATTTATTAGTGAAGCAATAGAAATTTAAACCAATGGCTTCAATTTATTGTTTGTGTTATCAGTCTTCTACTTAAAGATGATCTTACTTCCATTGAAAATGGGAGACAGAAGATAAACAGGGGCAACCAAGAGACATTCATACTGTCAGGAATGGCGCATAACAGTCCTCTTCCTCTAACCTCTTGCCTGGTTCCAGTGGTCCTCAAGTACGTTCGAAAACAAAAGGTACAAACTGAATAAATAAATGAGCTGCTACAGCTATAATAATCAGAAAGTGCAGAGTTTCAGAAACGGTAGGAAAAGAGGGAACACCAGTGTGTAGTACATAAAATAACTAGGTATGGAGTTTTTCTGACACAGTCTATATGACCTAAATTTGGACCTCTTAGAACTAATGTCTTGGAAGTGATTCATGTCAAAAAGTTCATGTTTCAGATGTTTCAGGATTTCTGGGCAACCAGGCAACCAGCAATAAAGGACCACTGGCAGCAGATGAGACTTCCACTTTGTGGGAATAGTCTGGAAACTATCGATACACCTATGGTTTAGTTTCTTCTGCTTAAAATTTATTTTTTTTTATAGACAGAGATTTACCCTTAAAATTTGTTATTGTTTTATAGCTAGAGACTGATCCTTGATGGTTTGGTTAGACTGCACAGTTTTTTTTTTTGCCTAAAGCTTTTGCTCCTAGGTAAACAGGAAAGTTTTACTTATTTTTAAAAACAAAGAAAAACCTTGCCATTTATTTTCTTATGTGGTGAAGAAAATAAATCTGCTTCATTGTGGTGGCTCAAAAATTTTCTTGAGAAGAAAAATTCTTGACTCTGAAATTACCCTTATAAGGACAAGTGATCATGACAAATAATGTAGAAGTGGAATCCATTATATCTGTAAGATCCCTAAATAGAAGAGAATTCCAGATTAGCCTCGGTGATTATTGTTAGGCCCCTTTCAGGTCTCATATTCTATAACTGAAAAAACCTTTTTTTCCAAAATTTTAACTTCATTTTCCTTGTGGTGGGGCTTTGCTCCAAATATCTTTGGGAATGTTTCAGCGGGATGGTAACTTTCCAAACCTATAAAAAACCAAATCTGTTGCTGTTGAGTCGATTCCAACCCTATAGGACAGAGTAGAACTGCCCCATAGGGTTTCCAAGGTGTGGCTGGGGGATTTGAGCTGCCGATCTTTTGGTTAGCAGCGTAGCTCTTAACCACTGCGCCACCAGGGCTCCAGTAACCTTCCAGTGGTTCAGAATTGAATTAGACTTATCATTGCGAAGTTTGGTCTCCACTCACATACAGAAGGTGAGATGTCATATTCCATATGTAACTCTCCTTGCCATGTACTGATAAAATGTCTACCAGCCAATGAAACCAATAAAGATTAAGGACAGAGTTTCTCTGAACTCTCTGCTCCAATTATTCCACTCAGGCAGATTAAAAGAAATTGTTAACACTGGAAAGCCAAACATCACAGAAGATTTCTCCAGGAACCATACTCCTAAACCTTCTTTAAAGTCAGATTAGATAAGTAGGCCTACTGATAATTTTCAAAAGGTTTTTCCTCCCTTGGTGATGACAGTATGCCATGCTATCGATTAAAATATATTTTTCTTCAGGGTTAAGAAAGGGATTCAGGCAATACATTACAATCATTCCTTAAAGAAGCAACAGTAATAGTCTGGGCATTACCTTAAGATCATCCATCTCTTGTAATTAAAAAGACTCACAGTAGAGTGACTATCACATATAGTTGACTTTTATTTACTGTGTTTTAAGTGCAGGAATTGATCACTGTGTTTCCTTGCTGGTCTGCATCTTCTCCACTGTACCACCGATGCATGTATAAGATAATATTAAAAGAACTTCACTGAATATGTTTGAAGTATTACAAAAGGCAGCTTTCTTTTTAATCTATGCATCTTTGGGAATTTTACAGAAGATATTTTATTCTTTGGTGTAAAAAGGAACTGTTAATATGAGTTGGAAACTCTGTACCTGTGTACAGTTTTTTATTTTTTGTTTTTTTTTTTAAGTAATAAAGCAGTATGGTCTGAGAATGTAGAAAAAATAAAACACTTATAGGCACAGGGTTAAATACAAGTCCAACAGCCACTGGGTATATACATACATACATACATACATACACACACACAAACACACACACAGTGATGAAATCATTCATGAGTGGGAGTCCTAACATGCATCTTATCAACCATCAGAAGTTTTTAACCCTGTAGCTCTCTTACAGAGTTCTGAAGTAGAACATTCAATACTAAGGGTAAGACTTTGTTTCTTTGTTTAAAATTATGCTTTACTTTAGGGCACCTGAGCAATTTTACTTTAGGCGTTTGGCTCATTGAACCACTGTAACTAATACAATAGTGATCAAAATGTATAAATGCAGGGTTTACTAAAAACTTACTTGGCATTGGAATCCTAAGATATTTCAAAATAGAGAAAAATTATGAACACTCATACCATAGCATTTGACTATTACTAATTTTTAACATGAGAAAAAATTTAAAAGGCACATTCAAATTGGAAGCCTTATACCCGGCATTTAATAACAAAAGGGAGTTCTATGGTGGCATCAGAAAACAAATTGCAAGTGAGTTGCAAAGACATAAGAAACATTCATTCGAAAATGGGCCATCAATGTTGTTGTGTGTGGCAGAGTTGATTCTGACTCACAGCAACCCCATGTGACAGAGCCGAACTGCCCCACAGGTTTCTTTCCAAGGCTATAGTCTTCACTGGAACAGATTGCCAGGTCTTTTCTCCACTAGTGGGTTTGAACTGCCGGCTTTGCAGCTAATGGCCAAGCACTTTAACTACTGTGCCAGCAGGGCTCCTTGAGCCATAAGTACATGGACTGATTTCAAGGTATGAAGCAAAGTTATATCGAGGTATTTATCTCAAATGAGTAGAAGAAAACTAAAGTTTATAAATATGCACGTGTCATGAGTATGAAAGATAAACACCAGTGGATTGTAAATATGGTTCCTTAAATTATAAATTATAACGCTGTATTTCTTACTTCATTACAAATAAATATGTATTCTCAAATGTGTATGAATATATTTCATTAAAAAACTGTAAGGATCTCGGTCTATTTACAAAGTTTACAGCAAAAGAATACTACAACGTATCACTGCACAACCCCAAGCAAACTGCTTTGGACCTCAGTCAGAGTTCTGCATTTATAAATTGAGGAGCCTAGAAAATGTGGTATCTGAGGTTCTTTCTAGACCTAAAATTCTGTTTTTTCTGGATCATGCAAACAATACGAGAAACCTAATTTACATACTTACCTTTGGATGGCGACAGGCGTGGATCTGGGTGCTGCGATCTGTCGTGAGGTGATGGAGAATGTCAGGCATGTTTCTAAACATGTCCAGTTTATCCACATGAACCTAAAGAAATAAAATTGATAGGCAAATTATCTGAAATTAATGTCCATAAGTAAATCGTTCAAAGGTAAATATTCAGGGGCAAATCATCCAGTTAATGAACTAACTCATTATTTGTATGTGAAACCTAGCTTTGGCTATTTCAATACACATTAGAATTCTGTCAGGATGTCAATATGACAAAGGGCCAAAGACCATATTCCAACCAGTCAGGTTTATCAGTGGTAATAAAAAATCAGAGACTTGGTTCATGGATTTCATTTGATCATGCTCTTACTGTCGTTCATTGCTTCAACAGCCATTCAATTAATATTTGCCGTGCACCTACCAGGAGCCTCACGGTACAGTGGTTAAGTGCTTGGCAGCTAACCGAGAGGTTGGCGGTTCGAACCCACCAGCTGCTCCATGGGAGAAAGATGTAGCAGTCTACTTCAGTAAAGACTATAGCCTCGGAAACCCTACGGGACAGTTCTACTATGTCCTACAGTGTCACTATAGGTAAAAATCGACTTGACGGCAACGGGTTTTTTTTTTAAATGGGTGCACACACAATATGTCAAGCTTTATTCTAAATATTGCAGATGTAGCGATGAACAAAGCAGAAAAATTAACAAAAATCACCTATTCTCAAAGATATGCACACAACATGCCACATAAGGGCAGCTGGTATGGGGTTAAGAAAGCTGAACCAGAAGCAGGAGACCCAGGTCATCCCTTACCACATTCCACTGCACTGGATTCAGCGGAAGGGCAGATGCAGAGAAACAAATATTGAAGACTTGGACACCTTTAGAATTTAAGGTTAACATACTTTAAGTGTTAAAACCAATGTGTAAGTTTTACTTAAAGGTTATCTCTGAACAGGACAAACTAAATGACAAACATCTAGATTGTTGTTAGAATTATGAAACAGTAAAAAAAGATGCATTCTCAGAGAGTTCCAGCAAAATGGCGCTCTAGGCAGAAGCACCACGCCGTCCCTCCACAGCAAAGATCCGAAAAACTAAGCTGAACAGAGAATACAACAATCCTGAAACCCTAAAACATCAAATGAAGAGATAAAGAACTCAGCCAAGCACCAAATGGGAGTCAGAAAACTG